GTGTGGGATCTCCTCGCAGCTTTTCAGCTTGAAATAGTTAATATCTCCCAGTATATGAAGTGGACTGAAAACTGTAGGTGCTTCCTTAAGAGAATTCATCTACTACCTGAGGTTTTTTTTAGATGGAATTGGAGATAACACTATAAATACATGATGATAAATCATTTGCGTTGTACTGGCTATTAATAGTTTTAATATGATGGCATATTTAGAACTAGAACTGTTTGTTTTGAAATAAAATTGCTCCCAAGATAGATAGATAAGCAGATAGATATATCAGAATAGATTTGGTAAAATGGCTGCTTGCTCAGTTAGTACTAGAGTCTTTACCGTGGACAGACGGAAACTACAGTGTAATTTACCTTATGGTCCTAGAAACTCCTTGTGTAAGAACTGCTCTTGCTTTACATTGTATTACATTATTTAATCAGTAATGTTTAAAACTAATTTACTGGTTTTAATAGATAAATTTATTACTTGTAATTTGAATTAAAAGCAGTTAGAGATCTAAAACACAGTTATCCTGGAGACTATTATAGTAAAAAAAAAAAATCTTATTAGTGCACTTTTGAAGTGCTTTAGCCCTTAACCCCTTTCCCTCTTAAAATAACTGTTTTTATAATAACGTCTGATAATATGACCTTTCTTAGGAATTTGATGATAACAACATAGCAGGAGAGACTTTTATTATTTTTAGTTAAACAAGAACAAGTCAAAATAATAGGTAATGACTGGATTAAAAAGATGTAGATAAAATTTGTTTTGTAGAAATAAAAAGAGATACAGAAGGGAAAGAGCTTATGTAAGGAACACTTAAGGTAACACCTAGAGAAATAAGTGAAAAAGGATAAAAGATAAAATGACTAATCAAATTATAGGTTTTCCAGTTTAGAATGTAAATTCCTTAAGGGAAATCAACATTATTATAATCCTTCCTTAACCAAAGACTTCACATGTAACATATACTATTAGCATTAAATAAATAAATGTATTTTGAATTTATGAGTAAAATAATGTTCTTCCCTAAGAATATAGACAGTAGATCAGAAGAAAAAGTCAAAATTAGAACAGAAGAAAACTGTCCATGTGTTAAAAACTGCGTCAGAATTTTAAGGTTTCCACCAATCAATATTAAGAAATAGAGATAAATACCGGTCATAAGCTAGTAAGCTAAATTTTGAGGAAAGATGTTTTTTTTGCATATATATGTGAAGAAAAACATACATGCCTTTGTTAATTGCCCTCATACTTCCTAGAACAAGAACAAAAGACTTCACGTTAAATTTCCCTTACTTTTAAGAGAAACTAGTGTGATTCTGCATGTTATGTGCTTAGTTACTGGTTGATTTCTAAAGGCAACAGAATAAAACTTTAAATAGACCAGATATCAGAAAGCATAACAACTAAGAATCTTTTTTCCAAAAGTTGCAGAGAGATATTGTCCAGATCACTGCTGTGTGTGTGTGTGATAGTATAAAAACTCATGCGAAATTTTAATAGATTAATGCTAAACATTGAAGATATATGGCTAATAAATGAGTAAATTACCTAAATCCAAGTGAATGAAGAATTGATGCTGGTAGCTAGATAGATTTTACTTTCAATATAACAGTGCTTTCAATATACCAAAAGGTGGTAAAATTTTAACCGTCTGTAATCCACAGAATGCAGAAAGAAGAGAGGAGTAAAACAAAAGTTTTCGTTGTTGCTTTACATAGAATACATTTTAGGATAATTGTGAACAAGTTCATTCAGATACTAGTTACCACTAATTGTAGGTGCTATAAAAGTAAACTAAATTTAGTCCATGTGAAAGACAAGATGGTAAGAAAACATCGAGGAACTATTGAAAAAAATTATAAAATAAGTCTATCAAGCTTAAAAATTATGACAAGCATCAATGGCCTAAATTTTCTATTCGAATGTTAAGGTCCTTCAATTAAGTTAAAATGAAAGTCTCAGTGTTGCTTAAAAGGGTCAGACTGACACAGAGACATTTTTTAACGGCAAAGAATGTTTTTCAGCCTAAAATTTACACATCCAAATCAGATATGGCAATTTGAATATCAAGTAAAGCAGAATTTTTGTTGAAAAACAGCTAATGAAAAGGACTGTTTTACAATCACTAATAGTGCAAGACCAATGAAGGAACAATGACGGGAAATGATCTCATGTCCACAACTTTAAACAAGTAATAATTTTTATATTTTTTATTTAATGTAAATAGAACTTACCAAATAAATAATGTGTATTCAAGCCAACATAGACGTTTACAGAATTAGAAAGAGTACTAATGAATCTCTTTCTTTCCTTCTCTCTCTTTCTCTCTTTCCTTCTAATACTGGAGTTTCAAGCTAGACCATAAAAATTTTTTTAAAGCATTGTTTTTTGAAAGTGCATTGAAAAGTCACTAAATTTCCTAGGCTGAGTTCAAAGTTGCTATTCTCCTGCTTCAGCCTTCCAGGTGCTGGGATTACAGGCATGCACCACCTGTAATACATGAAATATTTAATAGTAGTAGGTTAATGAAGAAAATAAAATAATTCAGTACATTATATTTAAAAGCATTAAATAAAATTTAATACCTATCCTTGATAAAAAGGACACAGGTACAAAGAAGAAAAACATTTTATCAATATAATATTTTACACTAGCTGTCGATATTTAAAATTGATGTAACATTTTTAGAAATGTTCATGTTTAAAATTTGTCAAATTGCTATAAAGATTTTGCCACAATAAATTAACTTAATAATTTTTAAACCCCTGATCATGTAATAAAACAGACCAAAAAGAAAAACCTATAAAGAGAAGAAAAAAAATACAACCTCTCATGCACTGGGAAAATACTAGATAGTTTGAAATCCCAAAGTAATTAATGGAAATTTGAATAACTTTAATGAGTTAGTAGAATATTAAAAGACAATAAAGATATGACATAAACCAACTGTATTCCTAAATCAGCTACTTTTAACTCAAACATGAACTTTTAAAAAGACTGACTTTACAAAGCAACGAAATACTGTATACAAAGCTTTGTCACAGATTTTAGTCAGAAATATGTGAACCATCTAAACAAAACTTTGAGAACTATAAAAATCTTAAATTACTCAGAACGCTGGTTTCTTGTTTAAAACAATATTTTTGTAGTTAACTCTTTTCCAAATTTATATTTGATGAAAATCCAATAACATTCTCTTTTTTCATATATTTTGAGGTAATGGTGAAGAGACCATTATTTTATCATAAATCCTAGTGAGAGGCAACAGTAGCAAAGCTCATTTTTTTTTTCTTTCTTTTTTGTTTTTTGTACCCGGGGTTGAACTCGTGATCTTGTGCTTGCCAGGTAAGTGCCTAGCAAAGCTCAGTTTTGAGAAGGAAGAGTAATAAGAGCAGACTGTTTTTCATATTTTAAAACTTATTATAAAGATATAATTAAAACCATGTGATACTGACACTAAACTAGATTATTGAGGCAAGGTATATGATCAAAATAAATTTTATATTTGATAATGACAAAAGTACAAAGTAATCCGAAGGAAAATATTTTGCTGTGTACTTTCTGATTGCCAGGCACAGTGGTGGACACCTAGAATCCCAGAACTTGGGAGGCTGAGGCAGAAATATCAGAGTGACCGCTAGGCTAGCCTGAGCTACATAGTGAGTTCAAAACCAGCCTGAACTACTTATCATGAGTCTGTCTGAAAGAAAGAAAGAAAATGTTCTAACTTGAAAAAAATTTTTACATTTGTCTACATAAAATAAATTACTAAAACTCAAACTGTAGAAAATTAAAGTAACTATTGTGTAAGCTTAGAATGTTGTAGCAAATTTCAAAGTGAAATTTTATGTGTTGTTGTATTTAAAGAACAATAATACATCAAACAGTTACCTAGGTGCAGTTATTTGAACATAATAACAGCAAGGGTTAATAGCGTCCTTATATATAGGTATATAAATTCAATACCTAACAAGTGTCTATGATATGAATAGAATTAACCAGTATACATCGGAATAGAATCACATTTAACAAAAGTTGAAACATATTTGCAAATGTAGGAAAATATCCAGCCCTCATAATAAATAAATATACATTATGACAAAATAATTTATATTTAGGTTTAAATCATTTACTTAAAAATTAATGTCAAGCACTTACACTCCTAGCTATCACACTTAAATTAACTCATGCTCCAAGAAAAAGTGGAAAAGCTGAATGAAATCTGGCAAGCATTTCTTTAAAGGCAGTTTGTTTAAATGCACTGGAGAGAGCTTGAGAAGTAAAGACCCCAGAAAGCAAGGAATAAGTTAAAATGTCCAAAAAACAGAGGTAGAAGAGACCCAGATAGAGAAGTAACAGCCTGTATCATATTGGGAATAATAAATTAAGGATATTGAATAAAAGGAAAGTTTTAATGATTAGTGATAACTACGGTAAACACCCAGAAATTGAACACATTAGAGACAGTTAAAGAACATGTCAGTGAACCAGAAAATTTAGTGCATTGGAAAATGACTTATTTTTATAGAACTGTTGGTTTGGGAAATAGTTTCCCAATACTATTTGGGAAATAGTTTAGCAACATAAATCAATTATGTGAACAAAAATGATGTATGTCTCTTGACCAATTGCTCTTATCTCTGTGAATATATCATCAAGAGGTGATGAAATGGTCACTCACATACTATTTAGGATAGTAATGACTACCTGCAAACATTGTTCAAAGTGCTTCATTTCAATTAATGCAGTTAATCTTTACAACCCTAGGTGGTAATACTATTACTGCGCTCATTTTACAGATGAAAAAAAGTAAACTACTGAAAGGTCAAGTAGCTTGTTCGAGATTATGTAGCTTGTGAGTAAAGAAGCAAAATTTGAACTGGGCTTTCTGGCTCTATATTCATTTTGACCTGCTCCAGGCATTTGGAAGCGCCTAAATAACCAGCAACTCTACACTGCTAAGTAAGCACAGTATACCCAATCTATGTAATATTTTTCAGGTGTTAAAAATGGGCATTCTAAAACCTTGAGGAGCATGGGAAATGCTTAAGATATAAAGAGAAAAGATCAAGAGCTAAAAATTGAAAAATACATATAAAATGTAAATGTGAGTATCTCAGTAGACTATCAGCAATTATTTAAGGTTAATGTTAGTATCACTAAGATTTTTCTTTTCTCATTTTCTCAAAATTTTAGTAATATGCATTTCTTATCTTGGAAAAATATATTATTAAACATTTAAAAGCAGTGGAATACATTGAGCAAGAGCAGACAGGAATCAGACTGCCTGTGCTATCACCTATCAGGTATGTAACCTTGGGCAAATAATTGAACTTTTGTTTCTAAGTAAATACTGTAGAATGAGGGTTATGATGGTAACTACCTAATAAAGGCAATTATGAGAAGTAAATCAACACTAAAATGTTACCTAGAAATTCTCTGGCACTTAGAAAACATGCAAGCATAAATTATTTTGTTGTTGTTATTGCTATTTTACAAGTACACCTCATTGTTTTGGTGCTCCTTGGTAACCACACAAAATGACACACACATACCCCAGCTGGTGCTCCGGGAGACACACGCATTTGCAAAAGTTTTGTTTCTATATATGTATTTTAATTCATCTTTACTATGAATTCCCCAGCACAGAGGTTTCTAGGAACCAGTCTACTACCATTGGTTGAAATGTTGCTTTTGAACTTTTCTAAGAAATAGTTATAGAAATCAAATATGTGATGTGTCTTAATGTTCAAGAAGCCCAGGCTAAATCGAGTGTGGTGGTATTTGCCTCTAATCCCAGCACTAAGAGGCTGAGGCAGGAGGATCAGTGGGAGTTCAAGGCCAGCCTGGGCTACATAGTGAGTTCAGGGCCAGCCTGAACTATACAGGGAAGCCCTGGTCAAAAACAAACAAACAGACAAAACAAACAAACGAACAAACAAAAGAGGCCCAGGCTCTCTCCTCCATCTCTCATATCTGAGCTCACATTCATTGCATTGTCCATCAAGGCCTGTATTGCATTAGCATCATTAGTAGTGAATTTGAGAAAATACCTACTTCCCTACTTGTACCTAACTGTATTTACCTGACGTTTCATCAGTGCCTTGAACTGACAGGCTGAATAACAACAGAAAGCTATTTAAAAAGTAGGGTATTTACTGTGAATGTATTTTTTTTTCAATTGACCCTCCCAGGGGACCTAAAAAAAAGTGCTTTAAAACTTTTTTTGTAACCCCCACCTGATAGATCTAAAACCTTTGCAAACTTTTGGTAGAATTTCCTCATTACATGAAATTGTTTTATTAAAATTGTAAACATTATAGATGTGTTTGAATGTTAAGATGCCAATCTTTCTGATGAGCTGTCTTAATGGCTAATGAAATGATAAGTAAGACCTTGTAATAACCCTAGCCAACTAAACTAATGGGTTTTAACCAGATGGAGTATTGCAGTACCTGTGAAAGAAAGGGTACTATTGTTAGTTCATCCTTGTGTGAGAGCACCTTTGTGCATGTGTTTTTCAGAATGTTGCAGGTCTCCGCTCTGTTAAATGTAGCTGCAGAACTCCCATGTGAATTGTCCTAGGTAAGTCCACCAGGTCTCTGCTGTCTGACACTTACTGGTTGCTGTCAGATATACCTGACATTTACTGGTAAAGGTTTTTTTTTTTTTTTTTTTTTTTTGGTTAAACTCCCTAACACAGTTCTTAGTTCTATCATATGGTACATGTTGAATACGTTGCCTAAATGACTTAGTGTTCCATTTTTTCCTTAATTTTTTATTCCTTTGAAGATTATTCATGAGGAATTTTGGGGTATGTCTATAACCTTACAGCATTTTCCCCAGCCTTTCACACATTTTTTAGGGCACATTCTGTCATGACATAGTTCTGCTTGTTAAGGCAGATTTACCATCTAAGTCTCAGGCCATCATTTCTAACCAGTGATAACTGGTCACATGGAGAATTTGAAAAAGAGTATGAGCATAATGAAATTCCTTTCTCTTCTTGAAAGAATGGAGCAAAATATTTGACATCCAGTGGGGAGTCAATGATAAGCAGTGGTAACAAGATGAGAAAGAAAGTTATCAAAAGGTGATTTCAAGATGATTATAATTATATTTACGTATGAACATGAATTAATTTCTTATGTTGGCAGGTACTGGGCAAATTCTTAATATAATTAGGTATGATTTTGTGGTGCCATATGAGGCTAATTGGAATTGGGGTGCCCTCTTCAGCGTGTCTCAGTGTCTGAACTACACTGGTTGCTAAAGAGTTCTAAGTTTTAAAACCTGCACTTGAAAATGTGAACCACAGTGTTTATCTCTTCTTTATCTAATGGGATACAAAGTGAAGATATAATAGTTTAAAACATTTGGCACATAGTACGCACTTAATTAAGTGCTTCTAGTCTTCCCCACTTCCATTTATTTAAGAGAGAAAGGGGTTATATAAACTTTGCTTTTTTCTTTAAATGTGCCCTTCATTAATTAATCTATGAATAAACGAATGACTTGGGGGAAAGTGTGAGAATTTCATCACTTCATCATGCCTTCATTGATTTTTCAGCACTTGCTTGGATCTCTACTATAAACTCACAGTGGTGCAGTGGGAAACAAAAGGGAGAGTCAGGTATTGGTTGTATTCTCAAGAATGCTGGAATTTATAAAGGGAGTTTAAAAAGAAACCAGCAGAAAAACAGTAGGCAGGAAAAATGATTTCAACCAACATTACCAGGGAAGTTTCACAGAGGAAGCAATATTTGGGCTTTAGAGAAAAGGGATAATTGGAACAGCAAAGGGAAGATGCAGTGAGTCAGTTGGGTGACTGGGTGGGAAGGCACTGGCTAGCCTGGAATGATGAGTTGGCTTCTCCCTGCCCAGACTCTGGAAGAGCTGCTTCTCTCTGGTATTGCATCTTTTCACTTGTAACCTTGACCACCCTGTCAGCCTTCCAGGACTCTGGGGAAGATTGTATGGGGCTTTGCATGTGGAAGCGCTTTTGGAAACTATGAAGTACTCTGTAGATGAAAAAGGTACTCTTTTCTTTTCTTCCTTGTATCATAGCCCTGTGATGGCCTTTGACCTTTAAACATGGTGAAATAGTGAACCGCCTGTTGAATGAATCCACAATGAGTGGATAAGTGGCCAAAATAAAGGCTTGCCTTAGGAAGATGTGCACTAGGGACAGGAAATGGGGAGTTCTTGGAAGCGTGGATGAGACTTGGGAATCAGGACTGTGAATGGGGCTGACTGGAAGGGTTCATTTGTTAGTGTGGTTCATGGAGCAGAAGCAGTGTCACCTAGGAACTGGTTAAGAAGTACAAAATTCTCTTGTATCTCTACTCAAGATCTACTGAATCTGAATCTCAGGGTGGGGCCAGTAACCTAGGCTTTTTTTTTTGGCCCCTCCTAACTAGAGAGCAAACCTAGGGCCTTTATACTGATGTTCCCCATCCCTTTACTTTTTATTTTGAGCTGAAGTCTTACTAAGGCATTGTTGCCCAGGCTGAGTTCGAACTTGCTATGTCTTTGCTTCAGGCTCCCAGAGTGCTGGGATTGCAGGTATGCACCTCCACGCCCAGCTAGCAATCTGTTCTTAACAATCTCTCTGGCTCTTTCTGATGTATAGTAGAAGTTTGAGAACCACCACTATGTTCTAATGTAGGAAATTTGAAAGTGTTTCTGCTGTAAATTCTGTGTTAATCTTTTCAACCATGGATGGATATAATCAGAATTAATGTTTCTAGGATACTGAAGCAAGAGGTTGTGCCTGAAAGATTTTCTAACTTCCAACATAAAAAGGACAGTTGGAAATATTAGAAAACACACTGTGTTATCAAGCTACAGACTTAAGATTTTATTCTGGATAATATCCACATAATCACATAAGCAAAGCAGAGGAGGTATTCCTCCCTGTTCCTAGGGATCCCGCTCAGTCTGCAGAGAGCTGGCAAGATCAGAGTGACAGTGTAGAAATATGATAGCAAGTTGTCAGGCATGGCCCTAAACTCTTTGCAGAGCGAGTAGTATAGGTATCTTAGTTTTGGTCAACTGTGAAGAAACCTTCCAAACTAATTCAAGCAGACAGCTGTAGGATTGTACCAACTACACTAGCTGCCCATAAACACAGCTCTGTCTTCGGGTCTGAGATCCACATCTGCCCAAGGAGATGCCAAAGGGAGAAAGCGTTTCAAGGAAAATACTTACCCTAAGCAAAAGAAAATCAAGATACAAAAGCACTGTAAGTCGTTTGTGGAGGAGATGGGCAGGCCGCAAGGATGAGCTGCTCAGATTGTTTGAGTCCCCAATCCAGACTGTAGAGTGACAGGCATCCTGGTCAGTCCTCAAGAAAGAACTATCCTGTCCACATAGTGCAGGACAGTCCTTGTCAGAGTAGGACAGTTGGTTACCCCCATACTATGTCCACCCTCCTCTGAGACCTGGGGACAAGGCATGATGAAAGTAGGAAGATCCTTGCTCTCAAAATACTGTACACAAAGCATCAGCATAGGATTCACCCGCGATCTTGTTAGAAATGCAGCTGCATAGGTCCTACTCTAAATCAAAACTACACATTAAACTGTGGTGTGTAACCAATAAACAGCTTTACTTTAGAACTTCTTAGCAATCCCTGAGTGATTTGTGCTGTGTGCTTTACATTTGCAAATGACTGCCTTAGAAGATACTGTGAGCCCTGGTTAGTGTCCTCCAGGAAGATACTGGGGCACAGGTGGAGAGAAGAGAATTTCTTCTTAATTATAATGTGGCCAATATCCAGGGTCAGACATACTCTACGCTAAAACCAGCCTTAACTGGGAGGAGCAGAAGCACCAAAAGGGGCACCAAGATTGGAGCAGAGCCAAGACAGAGAAAAAGAAGGAAGGATGACACAAATTCCTCAGGAATGGACCTCCTGAACTGTGAACAGGAGCGGTCATGCAGACTGTAAGGGTGGCCGGGAGCTCAGCAGTTAGTTGTATGGTGTGCATAAAGTTATAGAACTATTTTTGTTATTAATACCACGACTTTATTTTTATCAGTTATAATCTGATGGGGAGATGGTTTATGCTTGGAAATGTGGAGCCACAAGCAGTAGGGGTAAGTTCATAGAGAAAAATGAAAAGTGATTGCCTTCTGAAAGTGTTTAACTTGCCTTGCTTACTTGCATATGATCAAGTGTGCAAAGTTTAGTTTCTTCTCTTTTCCTTTACATAGTCTTACCATCTCCAGGGGCTCCACCTTTACAGTCTAGTGTGGATAATTTACATATAATGCTGTTTCATCCTTCTGTACTTTGAGCATAATTCTGTTACTTTAAAAATTTGGTAAATTTAATCTAGTGTTTCTTAAATTATTGTAAGGCTTGTTAAAACACAGATTTCTGGGCCTACCCTCCTTTTTACAGTTCCTAATTTAGTACACATAGGGTGGGGCCCTAGAATTTGCATTTCTAATAAGTTCTCAGGTAATACTGCTTTTGTTGGTCCACAGACCTGGCTTTGAGAATTTCTGATTCATACTAATCAGAGGTTAGTTTCCATCCAAAGGTGACAGTTTTTAAAGGTTTTTGGATTAACGGTCTTCAACTGATTGATCTTTCCAGTCATTTACCCACCGAATACATAGTCCTTTGTCATGTGACCAGTATTTAGCTTGTGCCACAAGTAACTCACCTTGCCAGTTCAGCATACCTAAACTGGTCTATGGCCTGTTCAACAGGAAAAATCCAATGGTCAAATACTGGAAAGTCATGGGAATATCAAAAATAAAATTTCTAAACATGAACTCCCAACTATATTTGTCTCACTTCAGACCAGTAGCAATTTGGGAACTGGCACTGATCCCTGGACCGTACTGAGTGACATGTTATGGATAACCCAGGAACAGACGTAGTCTTTTTCAGATTCCCCACCTCCTTGTCACTTCTTACTGCTCATAGAGAATCTGGTCCTGTGGATCCTGGTCTTGGATCCTGGTGGCATCAATGAAGCATGCTCAGTTCTCTGAGTTCATCTTTTCCCTGGCGTTGGGACCACTGAAAAATAATCAGGCTCCACCTGATCTTGTGGGATGGTCTGTGCTGGTCCTTACCATTGCTGCCACGGTCCTGAACATTCCCACTGGTATCAAAGAGGTCCCAGGACCTCTGCTTGACAGGAGCTCTGACCATTTTGACCATCACTGTCATTCTTCACAAGGAAATGAGAAACTCCTAGGGCCTCACATCCTCCACACAGGCCATGATGAGACAGGAACGCTCTCCTGGGCTGTATGATACCCGTGTGACACAGGGTATGGTACTGGGCCAATGGAGCAGTTTTCCAGAAGCTGTGGAGTGCTAAATGCAGAGTTATACCTTAACCGATCATTCATTTTTCAGGAATTTTGCCAGCCAGCTGTTAAAAATAGCCATTATTAAACATTAAATGACACAAACTTAAATGTAAACAAGTTATATTTTAAACAGAGCTAATTAAGATTCCATTTAGGTGGAAACTTAACTCTTTCTTTCCTTTTTTCTTTACAGTCTTGCTGTAAGAGTCCTAGTCACTCTTTGTGAAGACATCCACGTCTCCAGAAAATGCAAGTGACTGTCTATCCAGAAAGTACATTAAAGTAAACTAAAAGCCTCACCTCTGTTTCATGTCTCTGAAAATGGGTCAGTGTTCACAATGCTGCATGTTCTTCCAGACAGGAGGTTAGGCAGGAAGAAAGTGCTTGACATGGAAGACTAAAGTTGCTATAGGATAATGCTGCTAAATTTCAGTTTGTATTTGCATCTGTGGAGGATCTTGTTTCAAGGTCTTTTCAGACTCAGAAGGTTTGGAATGGGTGCCAGTATTCTGTTCTTTAACAAGAGCATGCCAAGCTGCTATTCTGTGAATGGGAAGAATTTAGGATTTTTTTTTCTTACTCATCTCCTTTCCTCTCTATATATTCAGCAAAAGAAAAGCACTTCCTGGTCAGAGGTTTAGGAAAACAAGAAATAAACAGTATATACTTCGATGAGACTAGTCAACAAAGAAGAATGCATTAACCAAAACCTGACGTTATTACTCATGCTGAGATGGAATGAAGTCCAAGATGGGCTACCCAGGCATTGGCTGTGTTGAACTGGAGCTGCTTTTGAAGTTTAATTTTAAATCTCTAACAAGAATCATTGTACCTAGTCATATCCTTTCCTAGAAAGGAAAACTCAACAGTTCCTATAAAGAAGAAACTAATGCTCCCAGAATGACTGAGTTGCAGAGTATTAGTTTATATGAATGTGTTCTTTCCTCCAAAAGTTTCTAATGATTATAGCCCCTAGAAAACAATGTATCACGTTTTTAATATACGAAGCAACAACAATGATAGCAAAGAACTTTAAGCTAGAAAAACATTTTAGAATTTAAAATCTCACAGGCAGAGAATAAAGTGCCATATATGGGTATGCGTTTGCTTAGTCTATATTATTAGAAGCTTCCAGAGTACAGCATACATTTTCAGAGCCACTTTCTTAGCATTGAAACTGTGCGGTCTTTTTGTAGAATCCTTCGTCTTGCTCACTGTCAAACCCTATAGACAACTTTGAAAATCTTATATGTGATTTATTCGTGTTGTGATGGTCCTGGCCAAAGTAGATTGATAATTTGGATAATTTTGCTAATTACTTACCAATATTTATTTCTTTGATGAAGAAGCAACATTGCTGCTTTTACCAAATATATTTTGTCCAACTTGCAGAAAATATTAATAATATTACAGATAACAAAATGAAATTATGTGTACAGACCCCTGCATCCTAGTGGGCACAGTCATGTTTGGTAATAGATTTTCCTTGTGCCATGGCCATTGCCAAACGGACTGATTAGGAGAACTTTGGCTTGCTCAGTGTCTCTTCAGGAATCACTAAAATGTTTTGTTTTTCCTAAATACCATCTTCATCTCCTTTTAAGAATACAGTATTAGTTTAAAGGGATATTTGATTTAAATGAAACTTGAAGATTCAGTCACGTGTGACGTTAGGCAAGCAGAAACAAAAATAGGATGATTTTTATCCTCTTATATCTTTGATGGTGAAGGGAGCTACTTTTTCTAAACTGCAGCCTGATACATACTGTTTGAAAACTTGTTTGAAAGTTATTTTAGCCTCTACTGTTCTTCTGATTTTATCTGTAGAAATGAGAAAGCATACATACTGGCTACTTGTTTAAGTACTCAAATTTGTATTTCTCTTGAAATATGTATTAATAATTACAGTTTTAAATTATCATGTTAATGTTTTATGTGGAATAAGCCCAGTATGTATACACAGCATAGCAGTAAAGACATATGTTTCCAATAATAACAAGTACTTCATGAAACCAAGTTTGAAATTTAAGCATTGCTAATATGTCTAAATATTTGTATTTTGCTTTTTCTTAGACTTGATCTGTTTAAAATAATAGATTTGCCTATTATTTTGTTATTCTGTCATTTAAAATATACATTATACTCTTGAATGTTTTGTGTAAATCTGAGTTTGTCAATAAATACAAATATAAATAAGTAACCAGTGATCACATTTTTACTGGGAAAAATCATTACTCCTATTTTAAATGTACCAACAATGTCAATCTTAAATTTATACACATGATAGTTTGCCTGATCTTTATTCTTTTTTTAAAGGAAAAATTGGCAAATCTCAAATAAAGAATAAAGTATTATATTTAAGTCTTATGTACACACTAATAATACAAAGAAAACAGAACTTTCTTTAAAATTACTTCTCTAGAAGACATTTATAAATAGGAACTTGATTAATAAATCACATTATTGTTCTTAGCTTCAGTCATGGTCCCTTGACTGCATTACTTCAGAGGACCTTTTTTCTTTGCACCTCACACTAGATAATGTGTGTTGTTTTGTATTTTTATATCAGGAACCAAGTTATTTGAAAATTAATAAAAAGTTGTAGAGGAAAGGGATATTTCCATAATAGATAAAAGTGAGTATAGCTTTTTTATACCATCTTTTTAGAAACTCTTTAGAGGGTTCTATGATTCCTTTAGAAATATAAAATGATATATTGTTTGAAAATTGCTTTAACCAGCAATGTTAGGATAGTAGATTAACATAACCTTTAAGACAGGTGGACAATGGTCACTTAAAAAAATCTACATAAAGCTCTTCCTACATAGACACTCAGGTTTAAGAATTTGTGCTAAGGAAATAATTATGAGTGTGTTCACAATTAAGCATAACCATATTTATCTCAGTATAACATTTATTGAATGAAATTTTGACACACCCTAATTAATATTTGGTTTAAAATTTTTTTATTTAAAGAAAACAAAACAGTAAAAGGGTAGAAATACATAATTTCAAAAAACAACAGTAAGAAATCACTGGTTGATAATTACATATTGTCCTCTTACAAACAGTTGTTCAAGCCTAATTAATATTTGAACATAGAGTACTTCAAAAGTTATAATACATATAATCTAAAATTCCTTTACTACCCCAAACAATGAAAAGATTTAATAATATTAATAATGTAAGATACTAAATAGCCAAAACAGTAAATTACAAAATAATCTGTATAAAATAATCTTACACACTCATACACATGCACTCCTTCTATATATGCATACAGTAGGTAATAAAATAAATGTTAACAGTATCTGGTTTTAAGTATTGAGGTTATTTTCTTTTTGCTTATCTACAACTTCTTGACTTTTCAACAAATAATAAGGAAAACTGATGTTTTTTAAAAATGAATTCCATTAATATGCTCCTGTTGTCCTTTGAAATTCAATAGCTTTATATACTAATAATTAAAAACAGGTAGTTGAACATAGAAGTAGACCAAGTAGTTGTTCTAAAACAAAGCAAAAATTGTCCTGTTAAATATTATTGTGAACTAATTAATAGATAATCTGTGAATATCCTGATGAATTATTTCCTGGTGAAAAATAATTGCTCTGGCTTAGGGTTACGTTTTCTTGGAATGCCACCAGAGTCATAACCTGTTTGCATAGCTATTCCAACTTTGTATCTTAAGGAGTAGGTTTTAACATTTCTTGCACAGATAAGATAACTCTTGGAATCTTCCCAGTATGCAGCTATTTCTTTGATGACTATAGTGGTTGATTTGTTGATAGGAACACTAGACTGAATTATATATATTTCTATTAATAGTTACATATTATTAACTACTCAACATATCAAGAGAGTCTGTAGTATGGTCTCTGACCTGAAGGAACTGTAGATTGCTGAGAAATAAATAATATGAAACAAATAGAAAAAATTCAAAAACGAATATAATCCAAGTTCTAAACTGAAAAGATAAGAACTAAGGTATTTATAGAAAGAAAGGATAAATGTAGGTTGATGGTTTGGGAAAAGACTGAAGAAAAAGCACCTTGCCCTGTTTTTAGAAAGGTGAGCCAGGTTTCAGTGTAGAAGAGGAAAGAAACAGTTCATTGAGTTGGAGCAGTAAAGGAAAAGTCCAGAGGCTAAGTGTGAGTTGTGGCTGTGTTTACGGAAATTCAGGCAGTTGGGAGCTTTGGTTAGCCCAGGACAATAAGAGTGGCTGGATAGAAGATTCTAGTTTTCCCGATGAGCAAACAGCAAGACAAAGGTCGCAGGGTCATGGCAGAGCCCACGAGGGCACCCTGAAGTTTCAGCTGAGGGTTGCTTTCTCTGAAGACATGCTGTGCATTTCCTCTTATGGCTTTAATGCCTCCTTCTCTTCTTTCTTCATTGGCTCCAAACCCTTTTTCTCTGTTTAGTGTCTGAAAGTTGGACTTATTCTTAGGTGCTTTCAGTTTCTTCTGATTTTGTTCTCATCCTGTGGATAAGGGTAAAGGGTTTTAAACTTGTACCACGGTGGTTTAAATCATCCACACAGCTCATGGGAAAAGTGACCGAGTGTTGGTCCAGGGCAAGGATAATATAAGATGAACCTACAGTGTCTTGTGATATACATGAGGAAATATACCTACTTCAATAAAAAGGGTCACACAGGAGCTACCCTAAGAAATCTCTAGACAGCAAGATTTAGAACAAGTTCAGCAACAAAATAAGATATTGGAATATGAAACAAAATCAAGTAAGTCTATACTGATATAAATAAGTAATTGCAAAAAATAATGGATAAAGGATGACTCCTTACAGAAAAATTCCAGTTCATAAGTGTAAAAGGAAAGAAGGAAACAGAAAATCATCATTAGACCATCATAACATTGGTAGAAATTCTGGAAGGGAATATCAACCTGTGTATGCTTTAATTAGTGAGCAGAATTTTATGGAACAAATGGGCATGAGATAACCCCAAGGTACTTCTCCCTAAATCTTTTTTATTTACAAAGGAGAAATAAAGTAACTTTGCAGTAACTAAAAACCATAGTGGACACCACTTTAACCAAAGGATCAAGGTTAGCACCACCATTGACAAGACCTACTAACATGTGTAGACCTACTAACAGGTCCCCTGATACATTGCACTCAAAGGATAGCTCACCTCTGTGGGATCTTTCCTGTTAGCTATAACTACACTCTGATCATGAGAAAACACCAAACAAATGCAAAGTGTGGGGTATTTTATTAAATGCCTGACAAGTATTCCTCAAGAATACTGTACTGAGGTATTAGTGGTACATACCTAAGTACCATACCAGTACTTGGGAGGCTGAGGCAGAACTACAGTGAATTCAGGGCCAGCCTTGACTACATGGTAAGTTCAAGGCCAGGTTGAACTACATAGTGAGGCTCCTCCTCAAAAAAATAAAGAATGCTATGAAGGCTGGGGATGTACCTCAGTGGTAGAGCGCCAGCACTGCAAAAAATAAAATTTTAAAGAATGTCATGAAAGGCTATAATAAACACTGAGACTGTCTAACCTTAAGAGAGATTAAGGAACCCATCTAAACACCATGTAAAATGTTGGATTGGATGCAGAGACAGGAAAAAAATATTAGTGAAAAGGTGGTAAAAATCTTAGCTGTAATTTAGTTAATGATATTGTACAATGTTAATTTCTTTTGATCATATCATACTTTTGATCACTGTAGATAATATTAGAAGAAACTAAGTGGATAGAATGTGGAAATTCTGTACTATCTTTACAACTCTTATGTAAATATAAAATGATTTCAAAATAAAAGTAAAAAATACAAATAAAGCATCTATAGAGAGAAAACTGTTAGTCTTCAATGTCTCTGGAGAAATCTGAATGTTCTACCATTTTAAAACCTTTACACTCTTCCTCCCCACATTTAAAACATCATCTTCTAGGTCTTCATACACATTTATCTCCTTATCTTAAAAATTAAACAGTTTTTTTCAGATAATTCACTAGATAAAAGTGAATGCTGACATCCCTTTTTGCCCTCAATGTACAGAAATAACAGATCAAATATCGTTTTTAATAATGTGCAAAATATATAAATGAACTCAACTATAGCTGGACAGAGGAGAACCGTGGGCCTCTGGGCAGGGGCAGAACTTGTGATGTGATTGCAGGGCCAGGGAACACAGCTCAGTCCTGAGTGAGGTCAGGTGTGAAATCAGAGTCCCCACAATCCTTCCTAGCAGAGGACCAGGAGAACTACAAATGCCTGAGCAGAGAGGGATCAGGGAAGTGTGCCACACTACAGGCCCTGAATGAGAAAGGAGTCACTGGTAAATATCAGCCCTCCACTCTTCATGGTTGTGAGATCCGCGTTTACACTACCTATGCGGAGGGAGGCTAAGAAGCCAGTGTAGAAATTGTTAACGGACTGAGTAAACTCCTGAAGGCTTGGCAGGGGCAAATGCAAAACCGCCTTTTAGAAATGTTTTTATAATTTTGAGGGTCTCATGGGTAAAAACGCTTGTTTATTATAGAAAACTTATAAACCAAGGAAACAAAGCATTATGAGTAACAAACCCAGAAGATCAGCACTGTAAAAACCAGAGGTAACAAAATAACTTAAAATACACTGAATTATGCTTAATTTGTTTAAAAAGAAAAATGAAATTATTAAAATGTATTTCAAAAAAAGGTCTGTATGAGACTAGAAAAGGATTTGGGAAAAATTGGAACTTTAGAAATACTATATAGTTATTGGTACTAAAACCTCAGTGGAAATATTACACAGTAGATTAGACACAGTGGAGAACAAGAATTAATAAAAATCAAATCTGAGAAACTCATCTAGAATAAATATCAAAAAAGCACAGAGAATTTAAGAGTCTTGAAGGCCGAAAGAGAGTGCAGTATTTTTCTAGAAGCAATCCTATGAGGCTGGCATAGAGTGGAGAAGCAGTGCTTACATTTTATCTGTTCAAATTTATGGACACATGCATATCGCCAGAAGCTGAACAGTAAACACTATCTGCTGTACTTAGGGTAATGTCATCACTTGGCCAACTCCTACGCTCTGACTATTTCTTGGATTGTGAGCAGCAATCCAGTCAGCAGTAGCTTTTCTTTCACTGTCCTACTACCTTTTAGATTCAGTTTAAGTACTGTAGACTTTTTATGAAAGGATTTTAATGATATTTCTTTCTCCCTTCATTTCTCATTTC